AGCACCAGTGCATTCCCCCGTCATATTTTAGCAGCAATTGTCGTCGTCGGGCGGCAAGTGGTGCCAGGGCTGCTGTAGTGGTGGTCGGGATCGTCTTCACCGTAAACTCCGAACGCCATGTTCCAACATCCACCAGCGACGGATATCCTGAACCACCTAGAGAATGAAGACTGGCAGAATAGTATGAACACTAGCAGTAAAGGCGGATCCAGATGCGAGAAAGCAATGGCAGAAGCACCAGTGGTGTCCCCGTCATACCAGTAGCAGCTGTATGCAATTGTCGTCGAATGGTAGCAAGTGGTGCTGGGGCTCGTTTAGTCGAGGTCGGGGTCGAGGGTAATATGTCGTCCAAGAACCCCTTCATCACAAATTCCCCAAGCCTTGGCAGGCCCCGCCATGTGAGGCGGCTTGCCCGAGCAAGGCCGTCCATGAGGACTCAGGCTTTGGGCTGGCTTTTGGTTGGAAGCTTACAAGGCTGTTGGGGCTTTGGCGCCTAGGCTGGACATGGGCCGAGGAGTTGGAGTGGGTAAGGGAAAGGGTTCATGGCTTCAGCTCCACGGGATCTTGAGAACTCCGAGATATAGGTCTATTGCAACATAATTTAACATAATATAGTATAAAACAGTACAGCTCGTACATTATAATTGTAATTCATATGGCCAAGGCTGGCTTCAATGGTTCAAGCATAGCTCTGCAAGAGCCGCACTGCACGGCAAGAGACAAAGGGCTGCCTGAAGGGCACAGGCTTCAAAGCAGCGCTCACAGGAAGCCTACACGGCCTGCGCTTCCCGCATCCGTCTTTGAACTCCGAGATATGGGTAGTATATTACAATGTGGTATAGCAGCACTTAAAAATCTATCATATTCTAAACATTTTATAGTAAGTTTTCGGTAACCCGGAGCTGCTGTCTTGTCCGTTCCTCTGATTAGTCACAGGACCTGTTCTGACGTGTGGTCTTCGAATGTCTTCGAAGGACTCGAGCGCCTGGTAGCCGAAGCTCTGAGAGCTACTGCGCCTGCTCTACCTCAGCCGAAGAACCCCCCCTGCACTGAGCACACGCCTTTTTTGTGCACCGGGAATCTTCGGGTGCCGAGGTGGAGCCTCAAGCTGGGTCTCGACGATCGCTCCTTGTAAACTGTAAAGCGGTATGGTAGTATGCGCGGCAAACTGAAACAACCGGGCAAAGGACAAAAAATCAAGCGTATCCCGTAGTTATGAAGGTTCATTTTGCAGGATCTAGCGGTGAGGGACTTGAAACTTCGAGAGCTCTCCTCCCAAACTTAGTAACTTGGAACTTAGACCCCTCAACCCTAAACCCAAACTTAGTAACTTGGAACTTAGACAGCCCTTTTGCAGCTGGCTTCCCCTCGTCGCCCGGGAGCTCCCTCTGCCCCAGAATCCTGTGCCCAAGCACAGAAAACCTGAAGCCCTACACCCCATTCTTGGCAGCTGAGCTGGCTGAAAATACTAAACATCGCTAGGGCCAACGCCGAGGAACCCGATATATGGGCCCTATACGAAGACCCTGCGGGCAACCAAAAACAGTGGTACGCGTGCCATTGCCAATACTAAGAACAGCCGTAATCATAATCATAGTAATAATCGTAATAACAATAATGAAGATTGAGGGCCACAACGAAAATAAACAGTAGCAAAAATGAAACGTAACGTAATGATAAAAAGAAGAAGGCGATATACCAATACAAACAACAATACTAAAACACTACCAGTATTATTACCAGCCCTAATCAGAACAACAACCAACATAATCAGAATAATACAAAGACCAATAGGATCAACAGTAGCAAAACAAGCAACAAACAATAATTGCAGCAATAACAACACGACTAAAACAAAACGAGAAGAATAAATACAGAAAATGCTCTCTACCCCCAACCCCAGCAGGCCCAATCCTCGCCGAAGCGTGTTGGAAGCTACCAAGCGCCTGCGGGAAGGATGTGTCTCGGAGCGTTGGAGCTTTGGTGATTTTAGCGAACTTTAGGGCCAACTTTCGACACTCACACTCGCGCACAGGGCCAACTTTAGGGGTTCTCGGGTGCTTTGGAGTGCATTCGGACGCTTTCGGGGCCTTGGGGAGCGTGGGTTTATGTAGGGTTCGAGGGTGAGTGGCCTTGAGCTTGCAAGCATGAAGATGCCAACGCCTCTTGTAGCATCATGTGGTCATGACCGATGAAATAGTCAGATGCACTGACCCAAATAGCTTTGCCAGACTTTCAATGCTGCCGGTAGCGACATGAAGCTCGCATAAGTTCACCCACAGCTGAAGGTTCGTAACCAAGAGAAAGCGGCGTTGTCTTCGAGCCCCTTGAGACCAGATAATAAAATACAACATGAAAAACGGTCATATATAGCACATAATACAGATTCAAATGACGACATAAAGTTAAAAGTCTCCACAAGGAAGGCAACACCCGGAAACCCATGGCGCCACGACCCCTGCAATGAAGCTACGCTTCGCATTTCTTTCTTCAGCGCGCGCCGCTGTGGCTCAGCTCGTTGGCCGAGAGTTGCTAGCCTTGCATGTACTATGGAAGCCTACAAAGTTACCAATAACAGCCTGGGGGTTCCTTGTTATCAGAGTACTACAATGTGCCCCAGAACCCTATTCTAATTATCAAGGCCTTTACAGTACCCTTGGTCAGGGAACTTCAAGGGCATTGTGGACTTTGAGCTGTGGTTTAGGGCAGCGAAGGCCCATTGCTTAAGGAAGCCTCTGTTCTCGGTCACCCTGCTGTCGTCCTTTAAATGCTAACTGCTGTGCAATGCTCCTCCAAAAGGGTTGTCGACCAAATGAAGCAACCCGATGCATGGCATGGTGTCCAATAGCCCAAGAGGAGGAGCGGGCTGCCACCAACCCACAGACCTTGCTCTGTCCTCGGAGCTAGCAGCTAGTATCTATTATATGTTTATAGGTTTATCTTAAGCACTGGCCACGCTCAGTCTACGTTGATACTTTGCGGTTGAAGCTCCGGCGCGTACCTGTGACACACGAGTTTCAAGCCTGCTCCAAACCCTAAACCCTACAACCCTACAGGGGATTTGGGTCGCAACCAAATCCCTCAACAGGGATTTGTGAGTCCCAAAGTTTTAACGTGCTCGGGATTCGCTGTCTTGCCTATCTTGCGATGCACCCTGCAACCTCTACAGATCTCGCATAGGGTCTAAACATGTCAAAAGGAGACACCATAAGGGTGCCGTCGAAAGCAGACTTGCTGTCTTTCCGCACCCTGAAACACAAAAGGCTGCGGGCACCGGATGAGGTTCGTGGATTCAGCTGCCTGCTGCGGACGCATGTGGGATAGAATCGGATAGAACGTGCTGGTGGATGGGTTTGCAGGTTTGCAGCTTCGGATTTGGGTTTGGGGTTAAGGGCGCTCCTCCAAACACGCCGACTGTACCACAGCACCCTGCAATCCCCAACCCCTGTTCCCCGTAAAACTCTGAGACCTATAATCCCCGGAAACACATTACCAAAAAAAAGTTAAGTTGTGCACCAGATGGCGCCTTCAAACGTCTGGCCATGGCGTGTAAGTCCTGGCAAGGCTCCGAAAAAAGCCCTTCCCCAAGCGAAAAAGCAAACGACCTCAAACGATTACAATCGGGATGAAGAGTTTGCTGTATGATTCTCTAAACCCTGCTGATGCATACAGGTCTCTGATGCTGGTTAGAGAATCCCTAAACCGTTGCATGAACCCTAGCTATCCCTAGCATCTGTTCTTTTTTTGCAGACGCTATGTTACCCCTAATTTTCCTGTCATCCACCTGAGAGGTTGCTGGGCTCCACTGTTTTCCACATGTCTGCATACGAATCGCTCGTTCAACGCGATATCTCCCAGAGAAAGCCCTTAAAGGAAAGCCTCAAAAAAACTTGAAGCTTCAGCCCGGTAAAGCAGCTCCTGCTCCTCGGCGCAGTCGAGACCTTCTCTTGTCAGGGTTCGGGCAGAGGCTACGGCGAACATGTTGTCATGCAGCTGCTGGGATTAGTCTGTCCTCATAAACCTCACCTAGTGCACATTAACACGGTTCAAATCCTGGCATCGTGCACTGCAAGACTATGAAAGACTTCTCACATCTAGACTCGGTCGAAGCAAGGAACCAACCCTAGATGGCTGTGCATGATAAGGACCTCGAAGCAAGTGAGGCCCTTCCGAAGGCTCCACAAGGAACCAACCCAAGCCCGCTCAGAAGCCCAGGTGCAGCTTCTGCCCAGGTCATCGGCCGTTGTCAGGGCATTCATCACCCCCATTTCCTCCCAGGGCTGGGGCACGGGAGATCTAAACTGAATCTAAACAGCCAAAGAGCCGTCGTTCCGGCATTTCGAGCCAGGTAGTATGTCAAAGACTGGAGTTAATAATTAGAGTAGGGTTTGGGAACATCTATAGTATGGATGAAACGCTTAGGAAAAAAGTTTCGTGCTTATTCAAGCTCCTGTATCAGGGTCTACTGCTTAGCTGGGAATGTTCAAAGTTAGTCATGGAACTCCTTGAATCCTTGAATTCCTGTTCGAATCGAAGACAACACATTTCGTCTTCACAGCCCCCATCTAATTGGCCACTAGTCAGTCGCCTAGGGCCTGTGCAACATCGTATCAGCGGAGGTTGACATCCTACGTGGCAAGTGCAGGAAGTGTCAACGGCAATATTTCACAAGTCTTCTCCCTAATTCCTGCATCTTCCAAACAGCACAAGAAAGAGGCAACAGAAAGGAGCGTAGGATCTGTTCTTTGGTTGGCCCAGACCGTGGCGACATCTTACTATCTTACGGCGATGAAGATCAGATCATGTTGGTTGCCACAGCTATGGGCGTCACTGGGGCGTGCTAGATTGTTCATATCCTTTTGCCCTTGAAGGGGCCTTAATAATTAGAATACGCAGAGTTTTGGGGGGGTTCCTTATTATGATTATAGTATAAAATACCCCCAAACCCTATTCTAATTATTAAGGCTCCTATATTATTGCTCTGTTATTTCCGAGGTGTCCATACATCGTTGGAGCAGCAGCGTCGCCAGCTCTTCGTGGCCCTCCATGGTGGTTCCTGGGGGATGATAGGAGCTTCGGCGCTCACAACTCGGTCTCTCTGGTTTTTTTCCCACGGTCTCTCTGGTTTAGGACCTAGGGTTTTAGGATTTTTTTTAAGTCTCTGAAAACGGCAAAAACCCGTCGAGCGTGAAACATCGGCCGCAAGGCTCAGACACGGAGACAAGGAAAGAATGCAATCGGCGGACAGAAACCGAAAGACCTTGCCCCCTTGACCTCTGAGCGTTTTGAGGTTGCTTTTGGCACAAACCGCCCTATGACCTCTTGAAAGCTTTTCTGTCTTTCCCGGGTCGCGATGCAGGGGCGTGACGCCCTTTGCACCCCTGCTCAAAGGATCCCCTCTCGCTGCCAGCAGTGCCTCTGGAGAGCGAGGCGGCTTAGACTACTCGGGTGTTGGGTTAAAAATTGGGTTTTCAGGGTTGTTTATGGCTTTGGTGGTTTGGGAGTTACGGGGCTCATATACATGCACCCAGAGATCTTCGGGGCGCCTTGCAGACGTCCACGTGCCCCCGTCCTGCAGCTTCGGCTAGAGGCCGATTCAAGACTTCCAACCTGCCACCGGTTTGGAGACAACAAGTTTCACAGTGTGTTATAGGAACCTGAAAACTTTAAATGGGATTGTTGCTCTTGCAGGGCTTGGGTTTCTTAGCCAGGCTCCTACAGTAGGGCCTTCAAGATTTCGGCAGGATTCAGGGTTCAGAGCCAAACATGGCAAAAAAAAAAACTGTGCCAGGTGCATTAGATTACCAGAAGCATTTCCGAGCTACTACAAGGCTGTAGCCCTTCAAGGGTCCTCGAAGGTGGATTCTCGCAACGGCTGTAATCTGAAGACCTCAAAATGCCTTGCCACCCTGAAGGGTCCCAAGCCCAGGCACTCGACATTTCCTGGAGGTCAAACTTGAAGCCTGCCATTCTTCCCGCCCAACCGAATATGGCAACGCACCGTCGGATCTGGAGGCATCCGGAAATGAAGCTCTTACCAAAAGCTTCCCCTGAACCATAAGAACAATCACAAAGCATAGATCAAAAACCGAAACTTTAATAGCATGCATGTCGAAACAGAATGCGTAGGGAGGCCTGACGTCGCATTTTTGGTGCGTCTCCTACTATACAGTAAATGCACAGTAGCTAGGAGATAGGCGCGGAGCTTCAGCACTAAGAAGTTGAATGCTCACTACAGCTCCGCCGACTTCGGGTGCGTCTACCACTCTTGAGAGCTACAGCGCTATACCCCAAACTCGGAGGAACAAAAAAAAAACGTTATCTCAGTCCCAATCCCGGCAGCCAATCGTAGACTGAACTAACGATAATATAATATCATATAATATAATACCAGATAATATAATATAGTATAGTATAATATAATACCACCACCAAGCGAGCAGGTTGCCTGTAGTAGCAGCTGTCGAGGACCTGGAGGCACCGGGCAACCGAAAGGTCCTGGGTCCTGGCTCCTGGAAACCGTAAACCCTTTGGATTCAACGCTAATTCTACCTTTTTTTGGAGGAAAATGTCACATTCTGTCATAACGACACGCTAAGCCCTGAAACCCTAAAGCCTAAACCCTCAAGCCTAGCATTTCCCGTTTTTGGAAGAAAATGCAAGATTCCTATCACATTTGACAAACGACAATTACTAAACCCTGAAACCCTTTAGCATATACTACATGACCACGTATTAAAACATATTATTACAGACAGTACATATGTATTACATATTTATGTGTAAAAAAATATATATATATATATGTGTGTGTGTGTGTGCGTGTGTGTGTACATATATATATATATATGTCTATGTATATATATATATATAGTTCAATCTGTTACATCGGCCGCACGCTCAGCCGCAAACCGCCTACATGGAGCTCCCACAAAGCCCCGAACATTGGGGATGAGACGCGCCTTCTCGAGACGATCCTGACGTCCCCAGGTCGCCGCGTCGCTGAGCAGCTTCCTCGGGCGGGCAGGGAAATTTCTAGTCATAGTAATCCTCATAATAATCAGATCAAACAGATTTGAATCCTCTTGCAGAGTGGAAAACTCACCATCCTTCTCGCCAAGATGTTCTTTATTCTTGCAGCCTGGTTTGCGGTCTTCGTTCTCCCAGTCGGGTCCCAGTCCCACCCTCAAAGCCAAGATTGCGAAGTTCAGCCGCGAAACCTCCGTTCATGCCTAATGCGCCAAATCCGAAGCCTTGATGCCTAAACCCTGAATGTCGGGTTGTTCTACTCTGGCCTGGATTTCTTCGCTGAGTGCTTGTTCTGGGTTGGGGGGTTCGCATGGCTCAGGCCCCAGAACCCGAACTCTTCCTGCACATGGCTTTACCAGGATCAGGAAGACACGCGTGAAAACAGGTAGGTCGTCGTGATAATGGCGCTGAGGAGGATGAACTGGGTGATGGTTGCGATCGTCATGTTGGTGGTTGGTGGCGGTCTCGACAAAAAGAAGCTTTACGATGAGTCACATTGAAGTGTCTGTGGTCCGCTCCAGACATCCTCATGATCATCACATGTCATCGCCATCATCGTCACCACTTCGACTTCAAGTCGCCATGCCTCGTCAACAAGCTCATGCTTCCCGTCTGCTTAAACAGGCCCTCTGAACTCCCCGACTCCCCGCCGTTTGCTCTGCCTTTTGCGGCTCAGGCTCTCGACGCTTGTCTCGTCTGCCGAGTCGCTGGGTGGCCGATCAAACTGCCCAGGTTGGAGCCTGCAAAATGTGGAGCCGTCGGGGCTCTCAGGGTTTCAGATAACATTTGGCTCTTGGCAAAAAAAAATAGATGATCGGGATAATCAAGGTAGGACCTCGAAGGACCCAATGCCACGACAATTTGGAAGGAGAGCCAAACAGCCGTGATGATTATCAATACCGCTCGTCCTAGGTCAGACGTTGACTCCTTCATTCTCTTCGGCAAGCGATGGTAACTACCGATCAGCTCCTGCAAGCATTTGCAAGCCAAGTTGACTGAACTTGAGTCTTCATTCTGACAACCGCCGAAGTCAGAGAGATTGGTGCTCCGAAGCTCGGAACTTAAGTGCTTGCGATTTCTGCTTCAAACCTTAATGCCTTCAGGGGTCTGCTGACAAAAGGTCCCTTTTGGTCCGCCGCCGCCTAGCAAAGTTGCGACCGCCGTCGAGGTCGAAGCGGACATCTAAGCCTCCTGGAAGCAGGTGCTCGGGCAACACCTCTTTCCACTCCTGCCGCAGTTACTGCGCAGGGAGGCTGGCTGGTAACATAGGGGTATAGTAAGTATAGTATGCTATAGTTTACTATAATACTTTATGGTATGCTATAGTGTGTTGTAGTGCATTTTTGGGTTTGTTCTTGCTCGCGACTGCATGTCTGGGCAACCGGCTCCTATGCAGGGTAGAGACTGCTTCTACTAAATGTCAAGCCTCGGAGCTCGGACAGGAAGTGTAGTGAGCAGCTGGTTCTTAAGAGGTTCTGGCGAGTCGGGATCAACTTCTGGCTTCGCGCCTTGGGTCATTTGTGGTGTCCCGGGGTCTCAGTTCTTCAGCTTTGCTTTACATCATGCGGCAAACGGTGGATGGCCCATCAAATCCCAGCGAAACTGTCGCCGGTTGCGCTCGTGTCCGAGCCTTTTTTCAAGCCCCATACCCGAGGGAGGCCGATTCTTACGACTCTGAGAGCTTGAGAAAGGCGCAACAAAACAACACATCTGAATCTGAGTCCGCGGCTTAAGAATCTCCTTTCAGTGGCTTCCGCTTCTGCTGGTGATGCGTAAATTCGTGGCGTAGAAAGTGAAAACAAGGAAGCTGTCAAGAGCTTGGGATAGTTCCCACGGTGTCTAGTTACATGCTCTTGACAGCTACCATCACAGAATCAGTCATGCCGATGACATACAGACTACGCACTTGACACCATCAATCAGGGAAAGATCCGCATAGCCAAACCAAAAAGCTCCCAACCCGCTCTGAGCCCACCTTGCCGGGTTTGAAGCGCACCTTCCCCTCCGGCAGAGCCATGGGCTTCGGAGGCTTCGGCGTGGAAGCGCCGACAGAGGGCCGACCAAAGAGCCAGAGGAGAGCTGGGAAGAGGCTCAGGAGCGAAAGAAGCGGAGCCCAAAGAGGCAGCTCTTGTAGCCATGGCATCTGCTGCTCGAGCCTTCTGGCTGTGGAGAGGGTGGGCTCTGTGAGTTTAGGGGGGGGGGGGGGGGAGGCAAGGTTGTAGATCTGGAGCGATGCCACAGGCAGCTACCGGAATTGAAGCTACCCACCTTCAGAAGCCATGAATCCCGTTCTTTGCCGGCATCTTGTTCGGCGCCGCGGCTTTCTCCGTAATGTGATCCGCCGTGATGTGAAACTCTGGCTCTCAGAAGATGGCTGGCCTAGCCTGGTACGAGGTCAGCCATGGACATCTTAACTCCTACAGACGATGCTTTCGAGTCCTCCCGAACGGAAGCCATGAAGTCCGGCATGCTGACAGAACCCAAAAGCTGCAAGATTGCTACCATTGCCA